TTCAAAATTATTATTCAATTGACCCCCTTCTTTCATTTGGCAATCATGAGGCATGTTTTTGTAACTTTCACTTTAAGTAAGCAGGCATAAATCAATTTCTTTATTTCTGCATTCATTGAATGTACTTTCACTATTCCTTTATTACAATACTTTATTTCATTTTTTTCGTACACAAATTTTCTTTATTTTTTCATTGAAAAATACGAGATTTATATATGTACATATAAAAATTACATTTTACATACACAAGGTTTTGTTTGTTCTTTTGTTGTTTTTTTTTCTATGGACAAATACAAGTATGTAAGATTCAATTAAAATACTAGTTTATTTTTTAATGCCTATTTACTTACACAATAAGTAATTTACTTTATGCAACTTCAGAATAAACATATAAGAAAAAATTGAAACTCATCTAGAAACTACCATTGATGAAACAAGTCGGATTTAAAAGCTCCAGAGCCTTTAAATCAGATGTCGGTCTGCGCACCCAGCAAATTAAAATTTCAGTAACAGCTGTTTTATATTTGTTCATGCTTCGAGTTTGTTGGACATAGTGATATGAAACCAACTAATCACTAAAGATGAAACCTTGCTCTATAAGAATGTGTATTTTTCATTTTTTAAGAAGTGAATTTCTCTGGCATTTCATCCACTGAAGTTTTCAACTTAGAAATTTTTTGTAAAAAATAATCTCAAATTTTATTTTAAGCCTACCAAATTGACGAGCATCCCCTTTTCTTTAAAATGGGACTATTTTGATATGCATAGGAACACATAACTGAGCACAACAAATTTCAAGACACAAACATAAAATTCTGATTTTTAAAACCTGAAAAAAAAAAAAGGTGCCCATCACTGAAATGTGACTTCATTTAAAGAAACTTGGAATAGAAACTAATTATCACACAACAGAAAGAATTGTATCTTTATAAAGAGAAAACATTAAATTTTCTTTACATACTAATTTTATCAAAATAACTTTAAAAATACTTATTTTCAATTCAACTTGAAGGAAATTTTACTCTTTTGACCCATTTTTGCACTGTAAACTAGGCCGGTTTGGGATACCTACAGTTAATATTGAAGTCACCAACTTGAATTTTGCAACTGAGGAGGGAAAGAGTAGAAAATGGTAAAAGTTTGGAATATATAAACAGGGCCTCTGCAACTGATAACATGAAAATTTTCTTCCATAAAGACTAAACTGATGAACACTAAACTCAAATATATCAGCATCACTGGAATCAGTCAATGACAAGAATCTGGAAACTGTCCACAGCATCAGATACTTGAAAACCCTGCAAGAAGAAAATGAAAAGCTGAAATGCCAGAAACATCACCTTCAGTTTGGGATGATATGCTGCCTTGTCATCATCATCATTCTTATACACAAAGTGAGGAACAAAATTATACAAAAGCCGTTCAGAAAGAAAGGTAGGACAGTTGAGAAACATATCCTAAGTTTTGGATGAGAGCCTGAGAAAGAGCTGGAGCTGGTTGCCAAGTCATTTGTGGCATGTTTATGATTAGCCAGACAATGAGACTGTCATGATTTCATGTTAAAGTCTTCTTGTATCCAGCCTAGCCTAACCGAACATTTGCTGGGATATTTGTATAAATCTGAGGCATGACTTGCATGTTTCACTAGAATATATCTTTACTCAATAATTGTAATGTGTTTGCAGAATCTCCTTAAAAGCATCTTGCATTATGTGCTTTTTAGATCTTTCTGCTTTTCACTTTTCTGTCATTTCCTAATACAATTCATTCTAGTCAGGTTTATTTGACATGCCATCCTCTTGCAAAAAGGTTTCAGTTTATAGCAAACTTAGAATTATCTAAGGTCTCTGGTTGATATTTTCAATGCTATTGATACATTCATGTCAGAGTATTTATAACTTGAGCATTTATATTTCTATAAGAACCCTCCTGATTACAGAGAATATTGGTGTAAAGGGATTATGTCCATCCTTAACTAACTGCTTCAATGTTTTTACAAGACAAACTAAGTATCAATCATTTGTGTGTGTGTTTGATATTTGACTTAGGTGAGTTGTATACCTAATTACCTACCAATATAAAGTCCATTTCCTTGCTTCAAATGGAAGCCATTAATTTAGGACTGAAGCAGTTTTTGTTTGTTTGGTTTTCTTTTTTCTTCTCATGACCAATATATTCTTTTTAGTTCACATTTTATCAACTAAAATTCCTTGATGTAGCCCACTCTTTGATGCAGCAACATTATTTGTTCACTGAACATAGATTCTAAATTAGTAAATTAGTTTTATCTGCTTTCTCTCATCTACATGAAGTGAGAGAAAGTTCTCAGCCCTTCCCAATAAAGAATGATGTAGAGACATGAAATATACAGACTAGGGTTCAACACTCTCTCCCTCGAAGTTCAACACACTTAGCACACATTTTCTCTGACTCTTCTAAAAAGGTTTACTGTTTCTCTGCTGCTATCACTTTCTAATCATTCAAAAATGTCTTCCTTTTTTTCTTTTTTTTTCTTAAGGTTTGAAGAAATTGACATGAAACAAGATGTAGATGAGTGTGTGTGGGGGGGTCTATGCACTCAAACCCCATATTCTTTAAAGTATTCATTGTCTTGCTAGCACTGTGAGGAAATTCATTGTTCTGCAAAAGTGAACCCATTTCTGCAGCTTTCCTCACCATTTTTCTTTCAACAGCACATCTGAAGAGAGTCTGTTGTCAAATTATCTTCCTTATCCTAAAAAAAATTCATGGTCATGACTTTTCCTGCTTGAATTTTATTTGGCCATAGAGAACTTAAGTGTCACCATAGACTGTTGTTTGGCTTTCTCAGTTGTTTCATCAACAATGACAAATTGTTCCTGAAAATTATAAACAGATGGAAATGCTGTAAAATCAACTTAAAAACATCCACTCAGTATTGTTTCTGGTAGGCATTTAAATATTTAATTATAAACTCTCCTCTCATTCCTTGGATATCACAAGTGTCATGACAATTATCAGTCAGATAAAAAAAAATGGGCCATGAATCTGAAGAATTTCAGGAGTTGATGACATAATTGGAGATCTCTCAAATGATGCTGCATTTCAAAATTTCTACACGGGAAGATGCTACACAGCTCAATGAATGCTTCTTACACAATGTTTGCATCACACATTCCGGGGTTATCTTTGGAGTTTTTCTTTTATAGAAACAGGGACTTCATGACTGTCTAGTAATAAACCCTGGAAAATTCTACTGTTGTCATTGACCTGGTTCACTCACTGATCTGAAAACAGATTCCAAAATAAGCACAAAGATGCTGCAAATCTTTCTAGTGGCAAAATAATGGTCAGATTTTGAAAACTTTTCAGCAGCCCTTTTATTTTTCTTAATTTGACATTTAACTTTGATTAGAGCCAATGTGGCTACATTTCTAAAATTCCTTGTAAGGTTAACACTCTCTAACAAAGGCCTGTGAGGATAACTTTTCACTGCAACATTTAGTCAATATTTTTATTGAATCTTTGTTTATAATGTTGTAGCTATTAAACTCTTCAAACTGAGAATGACATTGATTCTCTGAGAATAAAAAGAAAAAATACAATTTATATTTAATTATCTAAAGATTGAGGAACCTAGTGTAACACCAATGTTTGTTTTTCTTTTTTCTTTTTTTTTCAGTCTTTGTCAAACATATGTTTATATCAGTATGTAACCATTAAATATTCAAACCTTGATGGTAATTCTCTTTAAATATTTCTTTAACAAATTCTTTTGAGCCTTTTTGAAAAATATATATTTAGGTGTAGATGGTATTTGAAAAATTTATTAATTTGGTTCAACGTGCAATTACTTGGGTCTTAGTTTCCTTGAAGCTTTTTTTTTCTGCCATGTTTTTATTTCAAGTAAAACATTAGCTGCTTTAAAGTACATCAGTTCATTTTTGAGAAAGTCTTCAGATCCTCTTCATTTTTGCCGCGATACAAATGTCTGCTCCAATTTAATAGAAGCGTTTTGAGCTTTTACCTTAATTTTTCTTTTGTTTTTGTTTCATTGTTATTAATCAATAGATTCAAGTAAACTAAGATACATTAAGCAATTCTATCACCCAAAGAAATATATATATATATATATATCCCTTGAATTTTTAGTTCTCTCCCCATTTGGTTAATAGAAATCTTCTTTTGTGTTTATACTACCATAATCTGTGTGTTGTGGTTTTTTTTCTCTCTCTCTCTCTTCCCCCCCCCCCACGTAAGCCAGTTCTTGAGATCTTTGAGCATTGCTATGGCTAGTTTTTCCTCCAAACTTTTGATCCTTTTCCATGACTTTGTCTTCTTAAATATGCTCAATTTGACTGTTGTATTTTTTTTTACTTCCTATATGGCCATTGATAATTTGGTACTATTTTTGTGTTTGGCTCTCTTCATACATTTTATGCTTCTATGTTTAAAGTCTTTTTATAGATCTTTATAGATATTCTGAGAAAATGTTTTTAATTTTGTTAAAGACATTCATTTATAGCAATTTTTAGCTGACAAAATGATCACTATTCTATGTATTTTCATTTGTTTTAATTCCCTAACCTGAAGGAATTGGATTCTGCTACATAAGAGGGGTGTGGGTCTGGCAGCTTAATATCCTGGTGCCTCTCAAAAGATCATCTACCCTTTGGCAGTATGGCATCCAGAACACTACAAAGTTTCACTCTTCATAATTTGAAATTGGAATTTTCTTTGTTAAACAAGTCATAACAAGTTAACTTTTATAATAAATGAATTCTCACTTCAGTAATTGGCCTCCAAAATTAAAACCCATTCACAGTACTTTTTTTTCTCTCTCTCTGTCTCTCACAATTGAGAAATTAAACAAGTGGTGGGGGGGGGGGTCATTATCTTGTCAGTAATGCAGAGAAGCATAATGGAAAAAATCTTCATTAATTAAAGGAGTCTACTCTTAGAGTTACTTCTATTCTGACAAGTTTCAGTACATTGGTCTATTGATGTGTGATGTCTCTCAGTTCACTTGACACAACCACCCAACTATTTATTATTGCCCAACCTACCGCCCCGCCCCTGCCTCAGCTTTTACTCATTCTCTCTCTCTCTCTCTCTCTCTCTCATATCAGCATGAACATCATAACAGTGCTGGAAATTTGTGGAATGAAAAAAATCCAATCTAATCTTTGTTTTTCCTCTAATGTCTTTAATTTATAAAAAAATCTTTTTGATATTTGTATAGAAATTGTATAACACCAGGAAATCAACGACACTCTTACTTTTTAGCTCCAAAGTTCTCTCTCTCTCTCTCTCACTCACTCACTCACTCACACACACACTTTTCATTAAACTCTTGCTATTACTTTTAAATAAGTTCTCTTCATTTTAGACTTAGTTGCAGGAATTCTGGAATCCTTTCTTGGGATTGAGTCAAGAACTTTCAGCAACTCTTTACACATGGTTTTGGTATATCCTCACTGCTATGTACAACTGTAAAAACATGAAATTATATTTTAGATTGCAGTTCATAGCAAATGTCAATTAACACCAATACATAAAATGCCTTTTCAAAATGACTTCCCCAATTTTTTTTTTTTTTTTTTTTTTTTTTTATAAAGAAAAGATGTCAAGCCTTTTCAATTTTCCATTATAAACTTCTCAGTTTTTAGATAACGTAAATAATTTTCTATTCTCCTGTTTTTTTTACACACAATGAAATATTCCTAATTATTAATTTATATAAAATTATATAACTTAATGTATATCAAATAAACAATTTCTGCCAATAAAGTGCTCGATATTTGACTAGAACAAAAATTATGAAATTCGATATATGATTCGATACTTATGTCGTTTTGTAATTTCTTTTCTGTCATTCTTTGGGACTTTTGACAATGATTGAAAAAAATTACAAGACTCAGTCAACATTGATAAGTATTGAAACTTGTTATATCTGATTCAATAATATGTGTGTGGGTGTGTAATCTGTTAAATCTATTTCCTCAATTAGTTTTACTCTATAAAGTACATTCGTATTGTTCAGTACATACCCTCTTTGTGTGTGAGCATGCACTGGGAAGAGCTCTCTCTCTCTCTCTCTCTCTCTTTTTTTTCCCAATCTTTACTATCTTTCTAGCCATTGACAAAGTAAACACTCTGAAAGTCATCGTCATGTATTTGCAACACTGTTTATTTCATCTTTTTCAACAGATTTTTCTCCATTCTAAAGAAATGTAAAACCAGAATTTTTACATAATGATGAGCATGTTATCAATTGAACCCCTTTTCATTAAGAATAGGCTTTTTATTGACGCCATTCATCACAAAACTTCAGCTCTACTGCATTTCTATAGTTTGGTACGGAGACTTCATTAATTTGTGGCTAGACACAACTTAAAAGTAGTTTATTGATTAATCTTAGTACAATCCTTGTTAAGTGCAGGGAGCGGTGGGGGTTGCGAATCAACATTTGTGTCCTTTCCATTCCACCCCACCCCCCAAACAAATAAAAGATCCTACTGTGATTCTTATAGAAAGCCTCTCTTTTATAGAAAAAGAACTCTGTAGATATAAGTGTTTGATAAAATATTGTGTCAAAAGACTTTTAGAGCGGTTTCATTAGTTACCTCTCTTTGGTGTGACTCGTCCCAATAAAATTTGAATAATTAATTTCTAGGAACTTTTTTATTACTCCCCCCCCCCCCCACAAACAAACAAAAAATTTATATTTACTAAAATTCACACCAAATTCTCCCAGAGAGAGTCCTTTCCATTGCACTCCAATTGGGTTGATCCTTGTGCTTGCCCCAAATGTGGGACACTTATGCATGCTATTTCTAAGTGTGGGGTCTCTATTTGTGATCACCCCAATAAACAAGCCAAACCGTTTTGTTTTTTTTTTTTAATTTTAAAAACGTCTTGTAAGTATGTTGAATATCAACCACACTTATGAAATGTGAATAACTCCCTGATTTTAATAATTTTTCATTCTGAGAGTTGGAGTTCTTGCAAGACCAGCTAAACAAATTTTGATTTAACATTTATAATTTCTTGATGTTAGTTAATATTTGTGATAAGTAACTTTACATTATTTGGTGTGAATGAACAGGAAAGATCCAATTTCTGAACATAACAATAGAAGTGGAAGGATTTGTACAGATCACCTAAATACTAATGGTCAATACCAACAATAGCCAAAATCCTAACCCCCTACCGACAACAGACACCATCGTGTGGTGCTCAAATCTAGTCATTTATATATATGCCCAAGACATCAACATCGATTAGTATGCTCTGCAAATTTTTGTATAAATGAACAAGAAGAAACATGGCATCTTTTTTCTTTTTTCATTCTTTCTTCATCCCATCGCCCAAAGAATAAATACATGTGGGTGTTTTGTCTGACACAGAAAGTAACTACTTGTTTGCTACCCAAAACTTACCTATAATTACTGAAATTATATTATGGCTTCCTTAGTTAATTCTCTGCTTGTAGATTTTTAAAAATAACATTTTTGTGTTTCTAAAACATAACAGGTGAGAACAAATGTGCAATTGAATAAATAGAAAATATCTCTATACTTCCTGATTTAAAAAATTAAGCAAAATTATCAAATAGTAGTAAGAACTTGCTACGACAGCCAAATGTCAACTAAAACCATCTGATATTGGATTTAAAACCTTAAAAAAAATATACCACTTATAGTTGTCATGACTGTGGTGTGGTTGATATAGATGTTGAAATGTTGCTGTCATCTTGTGTTCATAAGTTCAATCACTGACCAAGGTAGTAAAAATCAATAAGGTACAATGAAGAACTGGTATCACAGGGCCAACACATACAAGATATGCCATATCAGCCAATGGCTACCTGAATATGTCCACAGAGTACCTGACCATTATGTCTGTTTTTCTCCGTAACAATCAAATCAAACAAATTTATTACTGAAATTTTTAACTTTGTTTTTTTTTTTTTTCTTAACTCCTATTTATAAACAAAACCTTATTTGCATGCATATGTTTGTAAGAATGTGGAAGAAATTTGTTGTCAGAGGAAAAGATTGAAATAATGGTAGGTGGAAAGTAACTCGGCATTAGAAATTGCTTACAGAATTTTTAGTATCACTGAAATCATGGCAAAAACATTTTTTAAGCAGACAACACTAATAGGGATGTCTTATTTACATGCAGTAACTAAGACCTGAAGACTGTGACTGCAGAATGGAATATGAAGACCTAATGTTAGGTTGGCATGAAGATTGGCCTGAATTATTTGAAGACATCCTCTGGAATGATGAGGCTGTATTCCATGTTGATGGTTTCATCAATTGTCACAACTGCCATTACTAGGCATCATGTGATAACAATCTGAACATGATGGTTGAGAGGATGCAAGCTCGACCAAAAGTGACCAAGTGGTGCAGAATAACGGCAACAAGTTGTCAGCCCATATCTTCTGCATGACACCATGAATATGGACCGCTATTTTCAGGTGCTTAAAAATTACATGTAGCACAGTGTGTCTGGCTGGGATAACATTGGTGACCTGCAGGATGGGGCATCACCATAATGTTCTTACCTTGTGCGTGTGTTTAGACCAGCATTTTCCAGGACGTTGAATGGGACGATGCAAACCTTGTGAATGTCCTCCAAGAAGTCCAGATCTCATTCCATGTGACTTTTACCTATGGGGTTACACAAAAGAGGTGTACAAAACCTTGCACAGTGGAGAACTTACAGACGCGGATTCAGGAGGTTCTCAATGATATCCCACATGACAACCTTCAGAAGGTTGTTCATTCCATCCCTGACTGAGAAACTGGTTGATGCCACTGGTGCTTACATTGAAATAGGAAGATTTACTTTCATTTTCCCATGTAATAAAGAACATATATCATTTGTTTCAACAAATTTATCATTGGAATATGAATTTTATTACCAATTTTTGATGCCTACTTACTTTTCATCCACAAACACACCATCCACCCGCTCACCCCTGTAGATTAAGTGAAAGCAAAATGAGATTTTAATATCCTCTTAAATAAAAAAGGCTTTGAACAACTTAGCAGGATTTACTTTTTCTGTCAGGTCCAGAATTTTTCAGGACCCTATCTCTGGTTTAGGGGGGGGGATGAATGCATGCGTGATATATACATATATTACACATACACAAACGGAAGCATTGTCAACCATTATTAATTTTTTGATTAGTATTTCTTAATTTTGTTTTCCATTTGAGGACAGGAAATAAAGAATAATCCCTTGGTCTGACACATTTCTATTTGTGTCTCTGCTCTGGGAGGCATTTCTTACTAAACTACTCTGATTGAATTATGAGACGCCTGTGGCTGTCAGAAGGATAAAATCTAATCATATCATATCAATTCATTCTTCTTTTTTCTTTTTTTTCTCCCCCCCTCCCCCAATGACAAAATATTTAATGTTATATTTTATATTTACCTACACTTGTAATATTAGTAACAGATGAATTATTGCCAAGCATTATTAATAAATTTAGTCTTATTGTTGGACTTAAAACTGGAATTATTTTCTATGTTCATAGTACAATCCTAAAATTAACAAAATTAATTTAATGGATGGGGAAGTGTCAAATATTCCCAAAACATTTGATCTGTAAACATTTTGTAAATGACAGGTCAGAGGTTGCAGTTTCACTTTCAGGTAAAATTTATTTTGAAAAGTAGGAGTGTGTTTATTGTTTTGACCAAATCATTTTCAGGTTTTCTTCAGTTCCAATAAAGGCAAATCAATAAACAAGCAGACATGAAGGAATGTCGAGAGAGATGAGGAATTTAGGTAACTTGCTTTTTTGGACTTTTAATATTGAAGTATGATGCAACCATTTCTGCAGTTTAAGGAACACTTGAATTGTCATCATTGGCCTGTGTGTGTCTGTCAATGTTTTTGTAGGCTTTGGTTATTTGTCACAGAATTAAGCAGTTTCATTTTACCAGCTTTGTACTGAAGGGCTGTCATTTATTTAAAAAGAACAAAGAATCCACCAACACCCTGCCACCCAAAAATACACTTTTCATTTGTTTTACACACACACACACAGAGAGCAGCCTAGAATCTTCAACTTAAAGGCTGATAGGGAAATAATGATAGAATTTGTAAAAAAAAAAAAAAATGCTTCTACTTGGATTAAAATCCAAGAAGTCAGCCTCCAATTTCTTATTCTTTGATCCTCTTGGACATGTGACAAGGTAATGGATCCTCATAAAATTATCCCTTTTAAATATTTTGAATCCTTTTTCTCTTTCACCCCACCTCGTTTTTTTATCTTACACTGCAGATACATTTTAGTTAAAAAGTTGACCTGATCTTTTACTTTCCTCTCTTGACAGAAACTCCACCCCCTGGATACATTAGTGAGGATGGTGAAAATACAGACAACCAAGGAATGGGTATGAACTTATTTACTTTTTGTTTTGCTTCTCTCTCTCTCTCTCTCTCTCTCTCTCTCTCTATATATATATATATATATATATATATATATATATATATATATATATATATATATATATTATATAAATTTTTTTGCTTTTCTCTAAACATGGTTAATTTTTCTTCCTTGAGGCATATTTTTGACACCAGTTAAAAACTCCATTTATGTTGACAAGGGTCTTATCTCTATCTCATCAAAGTATTGTTTCTTCCCAATAACATATCTTTTTATTTTTCTCAACCTTATAAGATGCCTTCATGCAATACAAGAAGAAAAGATCCTTTCATTCTGATGGTTATGATTTTGTTCAACCAAAATTCTAGTCCTTCCCAAATGGGGAAAAATAAAAAAATTTTTAAACATCCTGGTAAATTTAACTTAATTTTTTTTTCCCTTATTCAGTTTTTAAATGGTTATTGAAATTGATTAAAATTAACCACATGAGAAAAAAAAATCTGTTTATATTTCATATTTCAACTCATGACTGCATTCAAATGTTTTAATATCAATCACTCCCCCACACACACACACTTCTACTTTTAAGTTGTCCATCCAACTTTGTTTCTCTTTATTCACACATTTATTTATTATAGCAAAATAATTAAGCAGTCTCAGGCAATTAGAATAATGAATTCTCAAGAGATTGCAAATGTTATAACATAGTTTTCTTTGTTTATTAAAAATACATTATTGATTAAATTTACAGCATTAAAAAAAATAAATGAATGAAAACCTGTTCTATTCTTGTTTTATTCCCTCGAGTTTATGAATTGATTCTAATGTAATTTTATGGCCAACAAAATCTTTTACTAAGTTTCAGTCGGAAGTCATGTTACTCAGATGAAAACCTGGTTCTGCCTGGGTCTATTTAATGTACAAAGAAAACATTTTCTGCCAATTGGTTGTCTCCCTTTGTTGAAGGAATTGTTTTTCATGAGATTTCAATCTCTTCACTTAGAACTTGTTTAATCAGATCAATTAAGACCATTTTGAATATATCAGTGCCAGAAATGAGATTTCATTTTCTATCCTATTTTTATAGATTTATCTTTTTTTTTTTTTTTTTTTTTTTTTTTAAGCATAATTGCATATACTGTCAAATAATAGAATAATTATGTAACATTTAAAAGTGTGTGAAATACACAAGTTTAGAAAATCTGAAACTGAATCAAGTTCACAAGTTTGGATTATTTCCCTTGAATTTTCAATGGAAAAAGACATTTAAAAAATAAAATAAGTATCAAAGTTTTGATTTTATAAAAAAAAAAATTAAATTTTACAATAAAGTTTTTGTGCAAAATATAAAAATTTAACTTTTTCTGGGATAGAAAGGGAGGGAAGAGCATTCACTCTCTCATCTCAAATATTAAAAAGGTGTATAAACAAACAGACTCAAAGCTATCCCCTGAAATTTGAAAGGTACAAATATTTATTAAAAAGATATAAAACTATGTAACAAAGTACAAACTTTACAAAAAACTGTTGCACAAAAATTTCTTTTCATGTGCCTTATTAAGAACAAGGCAAGATAATGACAAAATTATAGAAACAATTGGCTCTTTTAAAAAAAAAAATTCACAATACAAAATTTTCAAATCATAAAAGAAAACAAAAACCGTTTGTGATACAAAAACTGTTGAAATTAAGAAATTTAATAAAAAGACATGCACCCACTTAATTAGCCAAAATGAAAAAAACCTGTGTATTTCCCTCAAGATTTTCAGGGTAATTTTAAAAATATTTTTTCAATGTTCTGTTTTATTTCTACTTAGTTTCCACATGGTTTGCTTTTCCTTTTCTGCAAGAATCTCCAGAAAATTGGGAAATGTCTTTTGTCAGCATAGTTTTTAAAAATGCTAAAACCTTTCTGTCCTCTACTCTGCTGGCTACATTTGTGCGAGAAAGTCTAAAACTTTCCAAGGCACATGAGGTCCAATCCCTTCTGATGTCTACCTACCTTCCACCACAGCCAGCAGGCTTCATTTCTTCTGCTGTTATCTGCTAACCAGTGTTCTTGAATACACTTGGGAATGGCTCAACGGACATCACCTCTAAATTTATTATGGCAAAAGCCACCTTTTTCACTGGACAAAAATACGAGGGTAATGTTTTCTGAATTTGAAAAATTAATCCTCCACGAGTCCACCATGACAGTTATTTCTGAAAAACACAATTGAGAATGCCAAATATTTGAAACCTGTTAATATTTCCTCTTTTCTGATAGAATCATAGTTAAATAAGTTACACTAAATCCCTGACTTTGTAATTTAGTAGGGTTAGGGCTTGCTTTCTCAATCTCAGTAGACTTTTACCTCAAGAGTAATGGTTAATTATGTAACCTTCTCTTTTAAATTAACAGAGCCCCTGGTATGAAATTCAGAATGCTGAGCAGTCAACAGGCTTAGTTGGAAAGATAAAAATTTTTGAAGTCGTTTTCGTGCTTTTTGACTGTCAAACCTTCTCCCAATTGTGTCTGACTGAATATCAACAAAGATGTTTTCTACTCACTGTTGCAAAATAAATAAAAATAATCCATTTTGCAACAGCTTTTGGGAACCATAACAAAAGGTTTTAGCACTTGCTTGTTTATTTCTATAGAGCTTCTTAGACTATAATTACTCTTGTTTGTATTTGAGACAATTCCACCTTTTTGTACTGAACTTCCTATACTTCTGGCTCAACATAAATTTGATCAGCTTTTTTGCACCAAACAATATTAGCTTTTGACATTAAGTAAGGAAATCCTTCAAAACTTTGAGTCACTTGCTGCTATATTTCAAGTTGATTTCACACACATAAAAATTACTTTTAGGGAAACATTTGATTTTTTTTTTTTTTTTTTTTTTTTTTTTATTATTATTATTATTTAAAGAAGTTTAAAAAAATTTTGTACAACAATTAAAATTAGATTTTTTTTTGCAGTTAACTTCTCTGTTGGTTAAACCTTGTGTTTGTAGTCACCCATTAAACGTTTTTGCCTTCATCTAAAAGCAAAAGATGTAGTTTTGGAAACAATTTGTGAATTCAGTCATAAATCAATTCCTGAAAATTTGTCTCTGGTTGAAACACTTTCTGAAAATCTTATTTTCACCATTTTTAAATTGTCAGTATTTTTTCCCCAAAACATTTTATGGATGCCTGATAAATAAACACTTTAAATTGGTTCAGAGTAACAGTTTTTCTTTGCTGAAGCAATTGATTTGCCAAATAAAATTCAAGTTAGAATAATAAGTTTTGCAAAAACTATTACCAGTCCACACAAATAAAACACTTTATTCTCTGTTGATAGCAAAAATACAACCTAGTCTGACACAAGACTACATTTGAAATTCAGTATATTCAATTAATCATCTCACTTGTTAATAGACCTGATTTTCAAATATATATCAAAGGACTTGCCCCAAATTTTAATGAGCAGGTTTAAAACAAACATCCTTACATTGCATTTATAGCATTTTTCTTCTAAAGTGGCCATTATTCCTTATAATAAATGCCAATAAATTTATAAGAAAATATCTTGAATTCTAGAAATATACCATGTATAATGAAGTTGTCAAATCAAGGTTTTTCGATACATTTAAAGAAAAGTATTTTTTTTTTTTTTTTTTTTTTTTTTCCAAAATAAAACTTTATTGCTGATCAAAATAGTCTACATCTGAGCTGCATTTTTAAATTTTAACACTTCATTGCAGTTTTGGTTATTTATTTTCTTAGATATATTTCCCTACTACAGTTATTATGAATCAGATGTAAATGCCTTTCAACACAACAAAAGATCTTATAAAAACTTCTATTTGCATAATTCTCATCTCTTCACTTTCTTTTCATTCAAAAGAAAATCAATTTAATCCTATTTAGTTTCAATCTCTTTTTGCAATGTAAACATTTGATACTCTGCTGTGTGTACCCCCTCTGAGTTGAAAATCTCAGATATTGGCACTTTTATCTATGTACCACCCACACACCCTTCAGTTTAATTTCAATTATTGAACCAAGGGTATGAAGCCCACATCTGCCTCACTTTTGAGCTCTCTATAATTACTTATTCATGAAATTTCTATTTCCATAATTCTCATGTCTTCACTTTGGCTTCATTAGAAAGGAAATCCATTTCACTTCTCCAGTAGAAATCTCTTTACCTTCTGAAATCCCATCATATTTTGGTCCTTTTTCTATTATGACCAGAGGATCACTTCATCCAATTTTACCATTTTCTTTCATGGAAGAAAATGAAAGTTGCTTATTGGAGCAAGAATGTCTTTTATTAATCATGGCTTCCCTTGAAAATCTGAAAAATGTACACTTCTGAAAAAGAGTTTTAAATTTTCATTTTTGTTCTTTATTCACTAGGTTTAAAATTAATTTTATTTGTCAGATGAGTTTCACTTGGCCATTCTTGTTGTTCCTCTTTTGAAACCTTTGCATTCATTTTCTCTCCTCTCCTTTTTTTCTTTTCTTTTTCTTTTTACTTATCTAACACTTTTAATACTTTTAGATCTTTAGGCAATTAACTTAAATGTGTTGGCAAGATGTCTTACAAGTAGTATAAAAGAAATAATTCCTTTTCACTGTGTCTTTGAAATTGTGTAGAGAATTTGAACTCATCAATCTTACATGATTTAAGCCATTTCCATATATATGTTGAATATTCTGTGTGAAGGGTCATAAAACAATTGAGATTGGCCCGAGAGAAAGGATGAATTAGTTATTGGTATTTTATCTTTTAATGATTCCCTGTGTGTTCTTAGATCATTCAGGGGTCATTAAAACATTAAAAGATAAGATACTTGTTTTATGACCCTTCACACAGAATTCTTCGCTGCCAGTTCAAGAAAGAAATTCGAATTACTAACACATAAAAAGAGAATGTCTCATATCAAGAATATTTAACATTGAAAAACATAAAGGAGAAAAAAATGAATTATTTTTAATAATGTGGAAATCTCCACCCTTTACCTG